AAAAATAATCTCAATGTCAATGTATCCAAATTCGAATTTATTTTTATCAGTATTTTTTCTATCTAATAAATCGATCCAAAATATTAAAGGCTATTGCTCGTTAAAATCGTTATCTAACCACCAAAGTAAACTAAGAATTTGATCCAGGATAATTTTGAGTGAAAGAAGAATCTTCTAATCTAACTCTGTCGTTCTACTTTTTTTGTAATGAACCAAAAAAATTATTTGTGGCTGTTTGAAACCTGATCAAAGCTGGAAGCTGTTACTTTATAAGCTTACCATAACTTACTAGAACATACTTATGTGAACATAGCATTTCTTTGTGAGGTTTGATTACTCCGATGGCGTCATATGTTACCAAAGCATATGTAACTACATCTAACGAGGCATTTCCTTGCTTATTCGAACATACTCTAACAAAAAATAACAAAATAAAATCATCCTAAAATTTCTTAAAATTCACATTTCGTTTAGAAATCGACCAACTTAAATTAAATTTCACATATTATGACATTAAATAATATGTTAACACGGTATGTGTAACGTCACCACAGTATCCACAACACTGTAAGGAGGGATTGCTATGGCTGTCATCCAAGGGTCTCCGCCCTAGATAATACTTTTCCAGGGGGAAAAGCCTTTAAAATTCCAGTATAACAATTTTATGTTTCAGTTTTCCCTTCTTTTAATGTAGGTGCCAATTTTGAGGTAAGTTTGTAATAATTTTTCATATTTCTTCAGTTAATACCTACCCTCTTAATATTATAATTTAACTAAGATCTTATGCTTTCCTATAGACACGATTCAAGGAGGGAGTTCTATGGCTGTTATCCAAGCCCTAGATAATAGTTTTCCAGTGGCAACAGCCTTTAAAATTCAAGTAATATAATTTACTGTTTCAGTTTTTCTCCTTTTTCGAAGTAGGTGTCCATTTAAACTAATTTTTTTTTATTTCACTTATTGATTTTAGCATTTATATACAGTATCGGCTAATGAACACTTTTCAATACGATTGGCTAGCATCGAAGAGAAAACTAAAGAGTTAGCGCATTAGTGCGATCAGGAAACGAATAATATGAATGTTGCCTTGTGTGCTGTGTAATATGAACAGGCACACGGTGCGATGCATCCCCGCGTAGCTACCTAGCTACGTTCATAGTATTCTATTCCTTCTCCCACTTATGCTATATCTTTGTAGTTTTTACTTGGACATTAGCAAAACGTATTGTACAACATTCGATAGCTGTCACTGTATTATCACAAATATCTCTTATTTCTTTTAATAGTTTCTTTTTTTTTTCAGTAAAATGGATATGGCTAGAGTTATCCAATCATTGTGAAAGGTTTAAATGGTAAGACTGATAAGCCTATAGGATGTTTTAACGTTATTGCGAATTATAAAAATTTTAGAAAATGTGTTAAATTTTATGTGTTTAGCGAAGGTATACCTAATCTCCTAGGTAATTTTTTTTAAAACCGTTTAATCATCTTCATAGGTAAGCAAATTAGGGAAGGGGCTTAGGGTTAAATTGTCCTAATTTTTTTTGTTGACTGTTTTTAACATTTTTAAATACAAAATTTGGAAAACCAATATTTTCTTTATAATAAAGCTACTTTCGTTGTATCTCGCTAGGACACACTATTTTCAAGAGAAATTCATTTGAAAATTTCATAAAATGATGGTATCTTATTCGAAATTGTAAACAATAAATAATAAACCTATGGAATCAGAAATTTTCAATTTTTTAACTTTGAAAAACCGGTGACTAAAGAAATTTTAGAAAATATTTACAAAAATGTGCCATCAGGACTTCACTTATATCTCAAAAACGAAACGTTTTCGGACTTATGTTTGTATAAACTTTTATTTCTTTTTAAGAATGTAGATTACGCTGTTAAAATATGATCGTCTAATTTCGTCTAATATCGTTCCTAGTGCCGATAAAGCACTTTCTAGACATGATGCTGTTTTATACTTTTTAGAAGATATTATCAAATATTATGAGACTATTTTTACTGATGGTACTGTTAGCAAAATAAAAAGGGGACACCTGAAATTAAACGATGAGGTAATACCATGTACATTCCCAAATCTTCCTTTATACTTGTATTATAACAATAAGAAATCTGTTTACTGTGTTTTATTTTGCACTTAAAACTATACTAGGTTCAATTCAAAAAAAAATTGCTACAAAATTTCAGCATTTATCAAACCTTTTCGAATTTGGTCATCATTACCTAATTTGTATTTTATATACATAAAAATAAACAATTTATCTCTAGTCTTCATAATAGGCATGATGATCAAAGTGTTCAATCGTATAAGTGTAATACAAAGAAACCACTCGAATTGTATAGTATATTTTTCTACGAATCGATAAAGAAAATCTACATTTTAAAAAGTAATTAATTTTTGAATTTCTGGATAATATCAATTTATATAATCAAATAAACTTAAAAAAAAGAATTTGGTTTTAACTTGGTTTTGAACCCAGGATCTATCGTACGGGAACTCATTACTTAAACTTTCTTCTCAACATTTATAATTGAATTGGTTTTAGGTAATTTCTTTATAACTCCTAACGATGGTGAATTGCCATTATTTATCGATTATTTATCACTCATTTTTAATTATATTTTCCCAAAAACAAAAAAGGTAATGAAAATGAATTTGACAGACTTGTCCCTAAATTCAAATAAAAAAACACGTATTTGGTTACTACTATAAACATTTCGTCTTTAATTTCACTAAGTGGCGTAACTCGATTTTCACAACTTTGCAGGAGAGCGTTTTAAAGATTTTTATAAAGTTGAACCAAATGGAAAAAAGTAACAGTAACAATCTAAAATCTAATTTTTGGTATACTAGAAGATTAATGTGTCAAGTACATGTCTGTACATCATTTTTGCCAAAAAACTTGTTTGATTTATCTTAAAATGGCCGACAATGAGATACATCACTTTGTGAAATTGAAAAACCATTGCGAAACGACATAAAACTACGTAACATCAAATCATTAGGATATACTATAATGCAGAAAAATTTAATAAACAATAAATTTATCAAAAAATTAAACACAATTTTATTATTTTTATTTATTTTTATTTATTTTTCTTTATTTTTATTTATTTTTATTTAGTTTTATTTATTTTTTTTATTTTTATTTAGTTTTATTTATTTTTTTTTATTTTTATTTATTTTTATTTATTTTAGAGGGGACTAAAATCGAAATTAATACAAAGAACAATCAGATTGCTGAATATCATATAAAAATACATTTACATTTACATTTACATTTTACGTTTTCGCGTTTTTTTACATTCCTTCAAGATATTCTGAAATACAATGGCTAATAGCCCTTAAACAGATATTCTGTATAAAACCTTCATCATAACCCAATTTTTTTGGGAATAATTTTTTCTTTTATGGATTAAGGTGTTTTTACAATTTTTATTACAAAAAATTAATTAATTAAAATCAAACGAAACTAAAACGAAACTCAAACGAAACTCAAAACGAGACTTAAACAAAAATCAAACGAAACTTAAACGAAATTCAAACGAGACTTACACAGAACTCAAACGAAACTCAATCAAAACTCAAACAACAAATTCAATAATTATTTATTTTACCCATACGCGAAATTATTTTCAAAATAGTTGGTTAATACTAAGTATCAAACGCCAAGTGCCCAGCTTACAATACATTCATTAATTTCTTTTAACCATTACGAAAATTATTTTTAAATGATTAACAAAGTGCTAAGCGATTCGTCAATGTTGTCATATTTTAATAACAGGTACTCTTAAAATATGGATACATTTCATCATCCGTTTGAACTTTAAATTGTTCAAACCTATATTCCGAATAGAATGTGTGAAATCTGTATTTCGAAACATTCTAATAGCTTGTTCTTCGATCTATAAACGAATGTCTAAACAAAAATTATTGGTAACGTATACTATTTTAAATATAGAGATGTTCTTATTTTATTATTTTCTTCGTTATTGCATTGATTTAATAATAATTGGTTTCAACGTAATTGTAGAGCTTTATTATTATCCGTAGAGTACATTACTTTACAATGCGCAGAAACCAGAAGTAGAAAGTGGAGTTAGTACTTCATTTTCACATTTTTCTTAAGTAGGTAAGGTAAAAGTCCAGTTATTGAATCCATGAGGCCTGCGGAATTGGAACAACTAAGGAGCATAATTCATGATTTTCATATCATCGAGAAAAAGCTACCAACTGTAAAATGTAAGTGACTTTTTCGATATTAACGAGAATGTATTTTATTGGATTTTATTATAGATATATTACAAAAAATGGCGGATTGTGGCTTTGACTACCAAGGAGGCATCTTATCACTGAGAAAAATATTAATTAACATGGGTTTTAAGTAAGTATTACTTGCATAAATAACCGTACTGTAAAGAAAAATCGGAATTAAACGTTTCCAAATTAATTAATTTCCCAGTCAATATTTGTGCAAATAAAATTATTTTATTATTAAGTAAAATGTTTAGTTGTTTTATTAATTTACACTTTATTAAAAATTTGACAAGACTTTTCTGACTAATACTTTTCATTTACGAGTATTTCAGATTTGAAATATTTTATAAATGTACACACACCACTGCTAAAGGAAGCACTGATTATCAGGCACCCCTACCGTAAGCGATTTTAGATCAACGTCGTCAAATATACTCCTGGCTGCGCGAAATTAGACATTTTGTTACGCAATATACTCTTCGGATAGTAGTAGGCTATTAATGTACTAATTTCTCAATTCCTTAAAAAAATATATTTTATTTTGGTATACCTGTTTGAACTTCTATTCTTCTTAAAATTGTATTATTGATACTGGCGTCAGCTACTGCTCTAATTTATCTCAAAAATTTACCAAATCTTAGCTATTTACCTATTATTGTTTTGTTTTCAAATTTATTTAAAAATAAAATTAAATGCAATTAAACTATCGTCTTAATTATCCACTTACTTCTCGAATTTGTCCCATAGTGTAATACACAAATCCTCTTCTTTTGCTCCTGTAGTGAAGAGTTAAACCCTGCTTGGTCTCGTTTTCGCAAATGAAGCTCGGAGCTCTCATGCGGGGATAGGAAAACTTCAAATATTCGTGTAGGTTGTCCAAACCGTTGAGGAAATCTCTCATGTGTCTTCCCAACACCGACAAAACCCTGTCGTAGCCATACTGACTCACGAATCCTATGAAGAAAACGCCCATTTGATCAAAAAATTCCCTTTCGCTTACTTTTAGGATCTAAAACAAAAAAGGTATAGGTTATTTTAATATCTTAAATTAATTGTTCAAATATGCAAAATGCATTATAGAAAAAAAGCAAATCCACATCTGCCATCATATAACATAAGAAAAAACAATCTTTTACACTAACGGTAAGTTTACACTCACAGCCGGTTGCAAGAACGATTGTTAAAATCTCTTGTTAGCTAATGAACGCATAACTTTATTTTCTTCCTACTTTATCTTCTAAATGGTAAATTTGACAACGGAGCTTCTCCAAATGACAGTATGAAGTAAAGTATACGATATTCGAGATACGTCCCTATCAAGAGTTATCTCTGTCGACCCATGTAATAATACACACGGCAGGTGAAGACGAATAAGCTCAAAATTTGCCATAAGGAAAGTCTCTTCGCGTTACAATACCTGCAAAGAAAGTCAAATGCGCCAAGAGCCGAGACGACAAAACGAACTTAAAACCTTGGTTTTAAGAAAAGAATTGTTTAAAAATACTCTTATTTTTGAAAATACGCAAAGAAAACGAATTTTAAGAAGATTTGATAATGTAAAAAATGGATTTTACGATGGAAAACAAAGGATTACTCATAAATATTTATTTATTTACAAATAATATCTGTACTTCAGAACCAGACGGACGTAAGTCACATTTAGCGCATTTTCTAGGAAATCAATAAAAGTAAAAATATTAATTTAATCACTAAGCTACATAGCTAGTGTTTAAATTAGCATCTTAAATTTGATGATAACATTGAAAGGGAATGTACTTTATCCATTTTTGTATAATTTTTGTTTAATTTTTGTGTAAATTATTTTATAAGAGATATAATTATTGATGTTTGATTAGGAAGGAGTGGACTTACGCTACTATGGTTCTTTATCAAAAACCTGTTTTGGGACTTACAAAGTACTAATATTAATAGTAAAAAGTGATTATTTATATTATATATTTATTAAAACTACACAAGCAAACACTTACAACATTTTTATTAACATCAAAAACAATGACGAACTACAAATTTAACAAACAGATATCATTACTCTAGAGCAGTTGAGTGATCATCAGAAAAGTTTTTCTCCTTATCTCCATGTGGAAGGCTTTTAAAGAAGGCTATATACTGCTCAGGAATCCACTGCATTTAATTCATGAGATCTCTGTATTTCTCGTTACTTATCTTCTTTTTGGTATCTCTCAATTTTGGTATCTTTGTTGGCATTACAACCCTTCCTCTCTGATTTCTTTTAAATTCTACAGTGTTAAAGATCTTATCCGCGAAACTTGTCTTATAGTATAACCCGTTGTCATCTTTGCGAAGCTGTAACCACACTGTATGAGTTATCAAAAATGGTTCCTTGTCTGTGTTTGTCTTCCTTGCAACAAATGGTCGTTCCTTGCTTCTCAAGTAAACGAAATCTAGAAAGTCTTCGAGGCCCATCCTCCTCACAATAAAGGGGTCATTTTTTGAGCATGAAGAAATAAAGTTTGCCCAATAATTTGTTTTAAAAATAGTGTGACTTTTTAGTTTTTTCTTCACCACACTATGCTTAACATCTTCTTGTGTGTGTGTGTGTGTGTGTGTGTGTGTGTGTGTGTGTGTGTGTGTGTGTGTGTGTGTGTGTGTGTGTGTGTGTGTGTGTGTGTGTGTGTGTGTGTGTGTGTGTGTGTGTGTGTGTGTGTGTGTGTGTGTGTGTGTGTGTGTGTGTGTGTGTGTGTGTGTGTGTGTGTGTGTGTGTGTGTGTGTGTGTGTGTGTGTGTGTGTGTGTGTGTGTGTGTGTGTGTGTGTGTGTGTGTGTGTGTGTGTGTGTGTGTGTGTGTGTGTGTGTGTGTGTGTGTGTGTGTGTGTGTGTGTGTGTGTGTGTGTGTGTGTGTGTGTGTGTGTGTGTGTGTGTGTGTGTGTGTGTGTGTGTGTGTGTGTGTGTGTGTGTGTGTGTGTGTGTGTGTGTGTGTGTGTGTGTGTGTGTGTGTGTGTGTGTGTGTGTGTGTGTGTGTGTGTGTGTGTGTGTGTGTGTGTGTGTGTGTGTGTGTGTGTGTGTGTGTGTGTGTGTGTGTGTGTGTGTGTGTGTGTGTGTGTGTGTGTGTGTGTGTGTGTGTGTGTGTGTGTGTGTGTGTGTGTGTGTGTGTGTGTGTGTGTGTGTGTGTGTGTGTGTGTGTGTGTGTGTGTGTGTGTGTGTGTGTGTGTGTGTGTGTGTGTGTGTGTGTGTGTGTGTGTGTGTGTGTGTGTGTGTGTGTGTGTGTGTGTGTGTGTGTGTGTGTGTGTGTGTGTGTGTGTGTGTGTGTGTGTGTGTGTGTGTGTGTGTGTGTGTGTGTGTGTGTGTGTGTGTGTGTGTGTGTGTGTGTGTGTGTGTGTGTGTGTGTGTGTGTGTGTGTGTGTGTGTGTGTGTGTGTGTGTGTGTGTGTGTGTGTGTGTGTGTGTGTGTGTGTGTGTGTGTGTGTGTGTGTGTGTGTGTGTGTGTGTGTGTGTGTGTGTGTGTGTGTGTGTGTGTGTGTGTGTGTGTGTGTGTGTGTGTGTGTGTGTGTGTGTGTGTGTGTGTGTGTGTGTGTGTGTGTGTGTGTGTGTGTGTGTGTGTGTGTGTGTGTGTGTGTGTGTGTGTGTGTGTGTGTGTGTGTGTGTGTGTGTGTGTGTGTGTGTGTGTGTGTGTGTGTGTGTGTGTGTGTGTGTGTGTGTGTGTGTGTGTGTGTGTGTGTGTGTGTGTGTGTGTGTGTGTGTGTGTGTGTGTGTGTGTGTGTGTGTGTGTGTGTGTGTGTGTGTGTGTGTGTGTGTGTGTGTGTGTGTGTGTGTGTGTGTGTGTGTGTGTGTGTGTGTGTGTGTGTGTGTGTGTGTGTGTGTGTGTGTGTGTGTGTGTGTGTGTGTGTGTGTGTGTGTGTGTGTGTCCAGCAACTAGGAATTTATGATTGACTTCTTCTAGGGTCGGTACTTTTTCTAACAGCCACAGATACATGAATACCATATTAATATTCCTAATTTGGCCACTGCAATTATCTGTCCACAATGTTAACTTCTCAGTAGATCTATCAAGGTTTCGAAGTTCCTCCATCGCCCAAGTGAATAAACATGATGCTATTTCGTTACCTCCTCGATCGGCTGTAACATCATCCCACATTATACACCAAGTTTTATCAACGATTGTGTCATAAATTGTACTATTTAATGTCCAAAGCTTTCTTAAGTAAAAACTTTGGGAATTCTTCAAATCAGGCGTCGGAAGACATTTTTGGTGATCAGCCATAATGACTGAAACCTTGATTAGCACAGGCTTCAAGTTTTCCCTTTGTATTGGTGGTTTTCTTTTTGGTGGTTTTCTTTTTGTAGTTTAAGACCAATGAGTTTTTCTTCATTTTTAATTTCACAGTGCAGTTTATCGCAAACATCACAAGTGTCATTGTTTGGTAAGTGGAAAGACAAGTTGAAATGTTCACTGAAAACCTTAGAATAAACCCACTTTTTTTCTGGTTTGTTGTTTTCTTATTGGCACTCATCTACATACATTGAGTACATTGTGGAAATGTTCAGGTGATTCCCCAAATATCTGCGCTTGGATCTTTTTCTGCTGTAGTGGCTTTTATAAACTGGGAACTTAGAAATATGGTTTTTGATCCGTTCTAACCTTTCACTTGGCAATTTATTTGCTGGGGTATGTTTTTCTCTAAGGTCTGGTGTTACCAAACCAGACTCACTGCCTTTTTTTAAAGCAACTCTCATAAATGTTTCAGAAATCGAAAGTGTGTTAAAAAAAAAAGTTTTGCAAACGACTTCTTCCTTATTATTTAAATTAAAAATAAATGTATGGCTCTTGGTTTTGCTTTTTCTTAAGCCGTTTCTTTTTTGTTATATGGGTAATGAGTTTATTTTGTAAAACTTTAGAGCCATTAGATATTAAGTGAATTTACGTTCATTTGGCTCAAATAAGGGTTAGGACTTTAAAAAATATTCGTTATTATAGCCCGATTGAGAATGAAAGTCTACGTAAAAATCATTAATAACCTGAAAATCGCAGTTTTTGGACTTACGTCCGTCTGGTTCTGAGGTACAGATATATTCTTGTAGCAAAATCTAATATGCAGTGGTGGATATAAAGACTTTATTAATAATGAAAATTAAAATAACAAATTTTGGGGAACCAAAAGAAACAACATGCCAGAATATAAAATTATATTAATTACACTTATAAAATCTAAATTAATTCACTGTTGGGTTCTAATTAACAGTATTGTTCCTAAAGTGGCGCTGGGAAACAGTAACAAAGCCTACACAGAACACGAGGCGAGATAACCTTAGCAGTTAAAGCCGATGACACACCAAAAAAAAATAACAAAAAAGAAGGTACATTAAAAATCAAATAAAAATTAAATAGTTAATGGTGTTTTACCTTTTTATTATTAATGAAAATAAGATACATTTATAGAAGCTAAAATTCCTGAGCAACATTTATTCTCATTACCTATTTAGGTATTAAATTATGAGGGTTTAAATTTGATCATTTTTATAAACAAAAATAAATATAGGTAGATACGTAGGTACTAAAAGTCAATACCACAAAATATTTTTTTACTGTTTAAGATGTTTCGGTTTCGGCGCAAAGAGTGTGTGATCAGGACTGAATGCAGCTATTATGTATAAAACTTTTTTATTAAAAAGACAAAGGTATCCAAAAGTGAGATATTTTCAAGATGAGACAAAGGGCGGATTGCCAGAGGAGATAAAAAATTTTCTTTTATAAGTCGAATATGATATATTACTGCTTGTTGGAAAAGATGTATTTAGGCTGGTTATATTTAACTATATCCAGAAAGGGATGTAACAAATACCTAAGTATCTTCTGACTAGGTAGAAAACGATGAGGTAATAACTGAGTTTGTGGTACTTGAGAAAATGTGAAAAACAAAAATCACCCTTCGTAAACCAGCTGAGTTTTTATATCCCAAGAGGCTATATTAATATCAGTTAGATAAAAGCACATACTTTGATTTTCTTTTACTATACGGAGAACGGTCCCACTGCGCAGCTTTCTGAGTGCCTTTTAAAAGGAGATAGAAAACTCCTCCATTTTGAACCCTTATTACGTGTTGCCTACATCTTGGCGCAATATTTTTAATAGGTGCGTTTTAATCATCCGCTTCTCTTTCGGAATTGTCGGTTTTCTTGTTTTAATCTGACAGGATGATTAAAACGCACCTGATATTTTGCTTGCTGCTGTCAGTGTTTATTGCTAAAGAATCAGTTAGCTCACTCGGACCAGTTGAACGTTCTAAAATAACATCCACTCCAGGGATACAAATTCAGGATACTCAGAAGACTGCTGTTTTATTATAGGCGGTTGTCATATATTGTATTATCCGAGTTGCACAGTGTATAAACTGAAACATTGAGATCAAAAGTGCCGACGCAGAGTGAGCGATCTGATTCTTTAGCTGTAAACTGTGTCACAGGGTTCAAAATGGCCGCGCCCTATGTTGGGCGTGTCGGACCTCTCTCTTGCCTCGTATAGTAATCAAAGTATGTGGATAAAAGTAACAATATTAACTTCAGTAATAACCCTAAAATAATGTCAGTAAGATATTTAATATACCAAGAAAACGAGGTCAATTAAACGTGTTTAATAGAAAAAAATTTATTTGTCACTAAAAATTACTTCATTTTCGGTTCATGCCAGTAATTAAACGAGTGTTGCTGGAAATGTATTAATTTGAAACTGGTGGAATTAGTCAATTCTTTAATAACCAAAAACATAGTGGTAAACACTTTAATACCGACTAGTTTTCAGATTACTATTAAACTGATTTAATCGCGCCTACTAAACTCTTTAATAGCAGTTTGCTAACCATAATGAAATGTTCAATAATCACAAGTAAATTTTAACGATTCTTATCCTCTCCATACTCCACGTGATGTAGATTTACAAGCTCAGTAATCATTCGCGCCATAACATGTAATGCGGAAACAACTCTATCCCTATGGAATTCAGTGTACCTGTGTGGTATGAGTAAGTCGTATTCCAATGACTTTTAAAGAACTAAAATAATGGATTGTAAGGAATTACTAAAGAATTGGAGATGGCGGTCATTGTTTTGGGATGTGTCTTTTCTAACTATAACGAATTATATCCTTGCAAGTACTCAACTTATAAAGTTTATTATATTTGTAGGTGTTAAATCTGTGTTTCTCTGGAACTATATTTTCAAAATTTGATTTAGTTTTGGAAAAATTGACTCACAGTCGTCCAGATATAACCTTTATCTATGTAAATATTTTTTTTAACTGAAAATAAAAAAGAGGGGTACTAACCTAAGGTTTGTATGTGGTTAATATTTTATATTTTTAGATAGAGACAATTGCCAATTTTTGGGGAAGGAGATATTTTTGTACGACCTCTATGAAACTATTTAATATTCATAATTAAAATGTTTTAATAGACAGTATTAGGACCTGCAAATATCCATCATTAAAGCCGATAATAACAGTTATTACATTATCAATACCTGTGAACTAAATGTTATTAAGCTGTTCAATATCTATTATTGCCCTGTTTAATAATGACTTTTAAAGTATTTAGTTCCTGCTAATAAACTGTATAATAACTATTACCAAATTAATTAATTAATTAAGCAAAGTTCTTTGTTTGCTTGTGATAACAACACTGATCGAAGAGCAAAAGTTTAATATGTGCTGTTAATCAGTTAAGCTGTCTCATACAGTATTAAAAAATTTAATAACCGGTATTAAATTTTTAATACCCACTAGCAAAGTGTTTTTTCAGTCTAGAACTAATAGGTACATAAGGATCTTAAGATGTCATAAAAGTTACTAGAGATCGGCTATTTTCAGTATTACATTTCGTGTTCTACTAGGTCACGTGATATACGGATATAGTTTAAGGGTGAGATTACAGAACGTCTGCAACTTTGCAGATCTGCAAATATGGCGGCAACTTTGAAAATCTGCAAATATGACTGACTTACACATGCAAGTATCAAGTTTTCGTATTCCAAATTTGGGTTTAGTGTTGTTGAAGGTAATAAACCACAATAAATATTGCGAATTTAAAAATATTTTTTGGAATACTTGCATTTGTAAGTCCGCCATATTTGCAGATCTGCAAAGTTGTAGACGTTCTGTAATCTCACCCTAAGGCTCGTTACTATTCTAAAAAGCAAAATGCGGTTCCAGATTGACCCCAAAGCAGCTCCCTATATATTCCTTTTTATGATTTTGTCACAATATATAGACCATTTTCAAAATTTTGATGTGTAAATTTTTTTTCTCGGCATTTATTTCTTTTCTAACTTATACATTTTAAGAAAAGCCTAGCTAAATTTAAAAAATATAAAGTATGCAAGAAGATTCATTAGTTATTGCCTAAGAATTATTAAAAATATATATTTATTTTCTGGAGCGTTAAGTAATGAGTCGTTATAGGGATTTGTTAGTTATGGAAATACATAAAATATTTATTGGACCATTAACTAAAGGCTCGTTAATATCGGAAAAAATATAGTTGAAGGAGTCTCTTGTGGATTAAAAAATCCAACAGGAAAAGAAAATCGTTTTATAATAACCCACATTGGAATCACCGATGGATTTTTGCCAGATAGTTTATTAATGTTCGAGTCAAAGAAAACAAAAGACTAACATGAAGAAATGGATGGCCCTATGTTTGAAAATTGGTTTCGGAACATTATAAAAAAATTCCAGCCAAAACCGTTATTGTTTCGAATAATCCATCCTATCACAGCTATTACATTGGCTTGGGAGTTCTGCGATGGATTCTTTTTAATAAACGTTGTAGTTAAACAAAAAAAAATCACTATTTAAAATCTTACCTGGACTGCTTTTTTTGACAACCTAGGTAACAACCCCTCTGGATAAACCTGATGTGTACTGAAACTTGGTTGGTCTACAGCCGCAGCTCTTCGAATCTCTTCCCATTTGTCTTCTCCATATGTGTGTTTTATGTATTCTGACATATTTTCGATTAATAACCCGTACATGTTGCATTTATCTGTAACAAAATAAAGAAGGTGAATATAATCGTTTAAAAACTAAAAATTGTGATAAATATTTCAAAAAAGTGATGCAGGGTAGTGTTAAAGTTTAATAAATTTTATTAAGTGTCCCAACTGATATCAAGTATGCAGAAGCATCATCATTATGTTATTAAAAATATTACTCTGAAGTGGATAAAATCTTACTTGGCCGGCAAGGGACTACATATTAACGTTTACTGGATTTTAAGTGGGGTATTCCTCAAGGGTTAGTTCTCTAGCATTTCTTGATATTTCAGCCGACTTATCAGTATTTGCATACGATACACCCTTGTATGGTATTCTAAAGATTTAAGCTAACTTTCTGATATGGTATCTCGTGATCTTTAGAAACAGCCAGCTTAACACGTTCACTACCGCCGGCCACTATAGTGGCTTTCCGGGTTTTCTAATGTGAACCGCGGCCACTATACTGGCCGTGAATTCAAACTCATTTTTATGCAGTACATACCGTGAGCACCATAAGTCTTACCCCCCCTATCTAACTCGTTACTGGAGTCTTGTTAGGAAAATCGCCGAGACACGTCGATTTTTGATTTCTACAGTGTACATTTTTGTATGAATAGTTTACCCTTAATATCATCCCTTACTAGAGGGGAGCAACCCTTTCGAAAAATTTAAACGGCATGGGGTGGTGAGTGATAGCTCATTTGAAAGAGGGTTTTATTCTCTTATGATGCTCACTGTATACTAACTGGGCTACGAGTGGTGGAGCGTATGGTTTCTTTGGTCTATCGCGAAGCTAGATGTGTGATTTTGATTTTAGTCTAAGACATATATTTTTTATTGCCTTTTTTTATTACAAAATAAGGTTTTGCTGAGTCTTTTGTGTGTTGAAGTTGTTTTTAACTATCAGTTTTGTTACAAAACATGGATTCCACTGAAAAATCAAGGTAAAAATTAATTTATTAGTTTTTGTATAAGTTTTTGGGGTTATGTATTTTTTAGTGGGTCGAACAAAAGAAACTCAAAGCGTCCGTTGACTCTATCTGAATTAAAAGAGTCACAAAATATGTCGAACTGGTCGGATTTGTCCGAAGATGCCAAAGATCAAGCTTTTTCAAGTGATGATTCTGTCGCTGACAGGAACTACGAATCACACGATTCTTTAAGTTCAGCGTCTAGAAACAGCGACCAAGAATCACAGAGCGATGCAGATGATAATGTAATTAGTATTTCAAACTCTTCATAAATGAAATTATCCCAGACCTTAGACATTTCTAATAGTGAGTGGACTGACACAAAAGAAGATCCCATAACGTTTCCTTTCACGCCTATAAGTATAGACATTCTGGAAAATGCTTCGGCCTTACAATATTTCCAGCTGTTTTTTGATGACCCATCATTGAGATAATTATCCGTGAAACAAACAGACGAGCCAGAGAGTTTTTTAATAAACAGCTAGCCCGAAAAAAAACGACTACAATGGCAGCATACATGTGTTGAAAATATTAAAAGGTTCCTAGACTTATGCGGCCTTAGTGGTAATATCCGTTTTCCCATATTGGGAAAACAGTGAAGTAAGCATTCGTTCTATTTTCATCCCGTTTTCGGACAAACCATGTCTCGGAATAGATTTTCGGACATTCTGAGAATGTTGAGGTTTGTTGATCAGTCTACTGCTAATACCGCAAATGGTCTCTTCAAAATACAACCAATTTTGGAAAAAGTACTTTTAATTATAAAATCCTTTTACACTCCAGGGCAACATTTGAGCATTGATGAGGCAATGATATTATGGCGAGGAAGACTAAGTTTTCACCAATACATACCCAACAAGAGCCATAAATATGGCATCAAACTCTACGAGTTAACCACTGATAGTGGATTTATCCTAAATATAATTGTTTATGTGGGTAAGGGAACCCTGGTCGACGAAAATGAGTCTTATGATACATCGGTTGTGCAACATCTTTTGGAAAATTATTTGGGCAAAGGTCACATACTGTATGTAGACAACTTTTATACTAATGTCTCACTTGCCGATTTTGGTTTTCGCAAAATACTGGAATGGTTGGTACTTTGAGAGTTAACAGAAAAAAAATCCCAGGAGAAATATTAACAAGAAGCTAAAAATAGGGCAAGCTATCTGGAAACGCGAAGGAAAAACTGTTGTAACTAAATGGAAAGATAAGAGGGATGTTAGAATGATAACCACTTGTCACAAACATCAGATGGTTAAAATTACAAGAAGGGGCTACGAAAAACTAAAACCACAGTGTGTTCTAGATTATAATGCCCATATGTCGGGAGTTGACAGAGTCGACCAGATGATGTCATATTATTCCAGTCCAAGAAAGATAATAAAATGGTACCGAAAAATATTTTTTCATTTGATGGATATCTGCACTTGGAATGCCTGTTTCTTCTATAAAAAGAAACACCAGACAAAAAAAAAACTTTTAGAGTTTCGAGAAGAAATTTTGATCGAACTTCCCAAACCAAAACAATTTTCGAAGCCACAAGCCTTATATTTCCAGTCACACCACTATCCGGCTGAGAATGTTGGATAATAGAATACTATGAAAAGATGCAGGTGGTGCTCGAAAATAAATGTAAGAAAGAGGTCAGAGTATTATTGCCCGCAATGTGAAGATCAATCTGTATTATGGGTACGCCATGTTTTGCAGAATGGCACCTTCATTTGTCTCAGAAGTAATATTTTTTATTTTGTAGAACTCAAGTTTACTTCAATAAATAATAAATAAATCAATTTTATTTAATTTCCTTGAGACCACTATAATGGCTGTTGGTCTGCCAAAGTGTCTATGACTACTCATGGACCAGAGGTCAGTTTAGTGGCCCTAAAACAAAATGGTGGAATCTTGTTCAGAAGATCAAACTGAATGTGTAGCTACTTGAATCACCAAAAAATTCCTAGTGATTCAAAAGCTATTACAGTTATCTTGGGATAAACGCAAGCAAAATATTGGTATTAGTGAAAGTGTTAATATACAGAAAGAAAGATGCTTTTGAAATAATAGATCTATAAGACAATGTATTTTCGTCAAAAATGTGGAAAAATATTGCACACTATGTCAAAATAGAAGATTTTCAAAGACACCCAAGCATGATATAGACTGATTTGTATTTATGCGCTGACAAAAAGTGCAAAATTAAAAAAAGTTATATCTAAATATACAAAATTAAACAATTATATTTTGAAATAAATAACGAAAATTCCATATTTATATTTAAAGGGTAGCTTAATTAAGACCTCTTTCATAAAGGGTAATCACACACTAAACATAAAGGTCTTCCCTTTGATCAAATTTGAGCCCAAAGGGAGAACATTTTCTTAATTTTCGAGGAACTAAACTAGCTCTCATCTCTTTGAAGTCACTTTGATTTAAATTTCCTACGTATATTACCTATTTAAACGTCTTAGTACATATCTACCAGCAGAACTTTACTTGGTGAAACTTAAAAATAAAATATGGCCATTTAATTATTGTATATATATTGGTTAATTAATTTTGGTATAAAATATAGAGAATAATTCAAATGGAATTGTTTGTCACTTCAGCATGTAATATTAGAGATATACCTCACGCATTAAATTTGCAGAAACCACGATATTGTTATCTGAAACTAAATTGTTATATAAACTGTTTTTTTACAATATTCATAAGGTATAATTAATTATACAATAAATAAAAAATTGTTACATAAACATTTTTGCAACTATTCTAATAAATACCAGCTAATAAAATTAAATTGTTTTATAGCGATTCTATAATGTTTATTTAAATCGCCTTTGCAACTCTTTGGTTGTAGATATATATATGTTTCCTGTTCCCATATTTCCACTTTAAAAATTGCAAATACATTTGATATTAGTATGAACTGGGAGCTACTGTCTTAAAACTAACGTAATAAGGTATAATATTATTACTATTAATATTCACTGACATGAGCTGAGAATAGAATTCCTATAAAAAAAATTTAATTAAAAATAAACAATTTTTTTAATCTATAAACTATAGCTATAAACTGATATTAAAAAAAAAATAAAAATATAAAGACAATAAATTACGTTAAGTTATATTACTTAATTTGTTGTGATTATAATTTATGGTCTGTATACAGTTATACAGTTATATAAATACAACGTTATCAGGTAAATTGTTCCAAACAGAGAAAACTCGGTTTGAAAGAAAATTTTGCCTAAGTCTAGAGTTAAAATTTTCCTTTTTTAATTTGAACATGTGCCCACGTAGGCGCAGGACATTATTTAGTACAAATAAATCCGAAAGATTGACACCGAACATATGCCTAATTGCGCGAAAACAAACGATTAAATTACTACGCAGTCGACGATCACTAAGAAGAGTCAGATTAGCCGTAGACAGACGCTGTTTATACGATGGCCTTTTTATACCAAAAGGAAGCCTTGTTGCAAGTCGCTGCACATTTTCCAACCTCTTTTGATCCGAGATTAATACAAGACACCAAACAGGACCACATGCGAGGACGAACATAATATGTTGTGTATAAGTCTTTAGTAATGATAACGCCGATATCATTTTGGGACGATACTGTCTTTAAGGCATTATTATTAATATTATACACCAATTTAAGATTGTTTTAACCGATATGAATAACAACCCATTTATTAACGTTTAGCGGTAATAACCAGTCTGAACTCTACTTTGATACCGCACGTAGATCAGATTGAAGCGACTGATAGTTCACAATCGGATTAGCGTAAATGTTTGTATCGTCTGCGTAGAAGGAGAAACAGCTTTTTATTGGACACAGAAATATTGGCAGAATATAATGAAAAAAAGTAGGGAACCAAGGACTGATCCTTAAGGCACTTCACTGATAACGGATTTGGTTTAATAGAAACTATTATCAACTCTTACGCGAAATTGTCTAAAGGTTAAGAAGTCCGTTACCCAATCTATTAAGTTGCCTCGGATTTCCAGGTATTCAATCTTTTTGAGAAGTCGGT